ATTAGTCTCGACAGACAATCGGAGAAACGAATTGGCATACAACGGAGAAGGCAAATGAGTCATCTCTCTTTCTGATCAAGTGTGACCTAATATTTCTATTCAGGCTCATATACGATCATATAAAAAAAAAGAGTCAGAGTTGTTAAGCGAATAATTGACAAGGTCAAAATGTAGCTTGAGAAGAATCAATAAATTGATCTGTCTAGTAGCTAGAATAATCTATATGAACTTGACATAGTAACAGCCAATACAAATTGTCTTATTTTAAGCTGAGGTTACATATCAATGCTCAGTCAGGATACTATATAATATAGAATCCAGGATTGTCAGATAATCACAGTACAGTCTGTTTAGATCATTGAATAGATATTTATTAACCATATGTACGTTGGTGAGTAGCACCAAGACAAATTCCTTGAAGCAAGTTGAGAGTGTGACAGTTACAAACTCATGAGGATCTGAAATTGCTATTAAATCATAATTTACATGAGTTGGGAATGGAATTATGTTCATCACAAGACCAATGCAAGGATGTTCCAGATACGATTCTCCCCCTCGAAATTCAAAATAATACTTCAGGATTGGGTTGCATCGACACTTGGACTAATGACAGGGAGGGAATTAGTTGAGCGTGTTGACCGCTTCACTTATCTTGGAGGTTTCATCAGCCCTTGTGGTCTGATGTGTGACGAAACCTCAGCATGGATACAGAAGGCTCAACTAGCATTAACACCGTCGGATGCTGGCCATCTCAATGGTCTAGTGTTCAAGCGTTCATGCGCGAAACAGACAAGTTTTGGGTTTGAATCTCTCGGGGGGGGGCGGGATCGTGGGTGTGCAACACTGAGGAGTCCCACGATAGGACGAAACGGTCATCTAGTGCTTCCATGTTTTCTATCATGATCTAGCTTCAATTGACTCATGATCTCAACCAATGAAATTACTATAATATCCACAAAAATCCTTTCTAAAAAACTAAGTTATTAGATTTTGAGACGTTTCATAACTTAATGTAAGCCACTTCTTTTAATAACCAAATCTAGTTTCAATAGTACACAGGAACAACGTAAGAATATTATGTACAATCAATTAAAAAAACAGGTTTGAACAAGTCAATGTCATATCATTTCAGTCAATGTGATTAATATGCGGCATGTTTGTATATTTGTGAGTATCTGTGTATAGTAAAGAATAAAAAAATGTGACCATTTTAGTGAGAATGGGTAGAGTTTAATTTATATGTACGATAACGGTGTGAATGATGGATAGAATCAAACATGGTAACACGGATAGATGGTTCACGTCGAATATATACTGAAGTCTTCTTTTTCATTGAGGGCAGTAGGATTAATCAATATATGAAAGGCTCCAGCTACTCATCTTTCTTTGTAGTTGGAAAAGCCGTTTTGTATTATTTCGATGTTTTTAATATCCATTTCATGGTTATTAAAAATAACATAAACTGCTATTACCGATTTAAATTGGAGTCTTTTTAGTACTACAGGATTATTAGGCGGTTCGTTTGAGTACTTAAGATGCTCTTTGGCTTGAGTCATGATTTCTCTGAAGAAGTGGCTTACACTGGCTTACACACAATAAGTGTGAAATGTATATCGAATATTAAGATTTCGATCATGCGCTCTCTACGCAATGGATAAGTCAGAGAAATTTAGCGATAAAACAATATATTAGTCAGCATAGGGGTTGTGGAGATTATTAAGTTTTTGATTGAGATCATGAACCGATTGATGTTAGACCACTATTGAAAACCTGGAAGCACTGGACAGCCGTCTCATCCTATTGTGGGACTTCTCACCAGTGAGCATCCACGATTCCACTCGCGGGATTCGAACCCAGAGCCTTCAGTCCCGCGCGCGAACGCTTAACCGACTGGACCATTGAGATGGCCGGCATCAAGTGGTGTTAATGTCTAACATCAACCAATCCACGAAATTGTGTGACCATTTTCCATTGTACTGAGGTAGACACCTGTTTCTACCCGAAGAGGATTAGCTCCACTGGTCACGGCTTCTCTCTAGAACTCCAAGAATTTCCTCACGAAGCTCGTCACTAGTGAGCATATGTTAATTGTCAGTATATGGGTTGTGGAGTTTTGTATTTGTGACAAAGATCAACAAATATGGACAAATTAAATATTTCCATTGAGTAGAATATTCTAGTATTACATGACATGACATTTATCAATCACTATTTACTCCATTCTATAGGTTGGAATAAAATATAGTTTCGTAACATGATACTAAGCTTTCTGAACATACTTGCAAGTGATCTTCACTGCCCTCTCAAAAAAACTTGAAATTTTCACTTGGTATTGTTTGGCTTATATCGTTCCATTGAGGTTTAAGACTGCAATTGGTCAGTCTGTTATTGTCGTATATTCATAATGTGCTGCATACTGAGATGCAGGTACATTTAGCTGACGAGTCCCACAAAGGACGAAACGCGCATTCAGGATTCCACTGCTAGCCACTATCCACCACTGCTTAAAAAAACTTGAAATTTTGTTTAACTTGTTAACCTACTAACAAATTTTAAAGTAGTGTGAGGATTAATAAAAAGTCTTTAATGAAGTAAACTATAGTTAAAGTTGACTGTAATTTACGGACGACCATTGAGCCACGCCAAAGAAACCATGAGAGTGTCCACCTAATAACCAGGATCAAATGAGGGTTACAAACCTGTGTGAGGAATTAGGATTATGATTTACAGTTGATGCTTGGGCTAGGGTTTTCATCACGTACTGACATCAGGTATAATGTCAAAACTCTATTTAACCAAATGGATGGGTGAATTTCGCTCCAAAATTCGAGACCTTTTATCCTAAATCTAATTGGTTCGTCAAAATAAATTCTAGTTTCACCACCAAATGAATAATGTTCACAAGTTTGCATAGAACATGTGTTCGTGAGTAATTTGTATTATTTCCGTCTTTTAATGTTCGTTCAGTGAGTGTGCAATATCTGGCATGTTTTCGTTGATTTGTTAAATGAATGCTGCATATAAGAGCATAATTTCCTTCGGAGATCCCATTTTAAGCCCCAAATTCTATTTTATTTGGTTTAATTTTTTATCCGATATGATGGAATGAGCTATAACAGCGTGAGTCAGGCAACAATGTAGAACTTAGTACGTACGTACGTATCTACATCAGTTCCACTTACCATATCACATTAGCACACACATACGATTGTCCATTCAAATCCCATACTGGTAGAGGTAGTTAGAGTATAAGCAGTAATCGGAAAGATTAGGGTTTGAAGATGTTATTCAAGAAATATAATGCATTGAAATAAATTTTGAAAGAGAAAAAATAAAGGGACATGATGAATTCGGAAGGTTATAATTTGGGAGAGCATAAAGGGTGGATGCACCTGAGTCATTTCAAATGACTTTGAACCATGTCATTCAAGTTCCCTAACCATCTGTTGTTATCATCTCGCAGATCCTAATAAGGTAGTCTACACCTACCATCATGTCTCAATCCACTCGTCAGTGACTTGATGAATTTGTGTCATGTTTTGGTTTGGTCGCCCCTAGTTTTCTTCCAACCTACTCTACACCATATTTAAGAGTAATGACCAATGAGAAAATATTAGACATAATGAATGTTAATCACTAAAACGGTTGAATAATGCTCTGTGATCATAAAGATTAGAAAAATTACGAAAATATGAACCATTATCGTGATTAATATACACCAGTGAAATGAAGTCATCAATAGGACACTTTATGCAGCTCAACTTGTCTATGTTTCACCAGAAACCCAAATATCACGTAAGCGACTATGTCTATCAATTTACATGTATGTGTCGAAACACGTAAATAGGGAGAAGCAATCGTAATCTGCAAGTCAGAGTGGTAGAACACATACCCAAATGGCTGTAGAAACAAATGAATTCCAATGGTCAAATATGATCACAGGATAGATAGACATCTTCCCCCATTATGAAACATTTATTTGAAACTGGTCATAAAGTTGATATCAAGTCAGCATTTGTAAAAAAGTTTTCAAAGATGTATTCCCCCTTCCAGCCAAACAAGTTGGTGAAGCCTAGTAAACCCTTCTGGAGAGAAACAGGCCACATATAAGCACGACACAACTACAGGGGCTAGAATAACTGTTTTTGCAATCGGTTGGAGTTTACCCTGTAGGGTGCAACTCCGTACATTCCATACAGCCTTTTTGTGAATTTTTTGTGGGTACCGGTCTTGTGGGTGATTAGTCTGATCTCTACCACCCGGGTTACCGCTCACGTTTGTTCATGGGACTGAGTCCCACTATCCAGGAGGCACGATGAGAACGTGTGAGTCGAGTTTTCCCTCCCTCAATGGCATATACTAAGGTTTATTGAAGCCTTGGCTATATGGAAACTGAAGCCCCTGTTATGTGTTGCAAAAAGCAATTCGTTCTTACCCTTAACCTACCTTGGCATTACTGATTTATACTCCTTGAATAACATCTTCACACAGTAATGTTTCCGATTACTGCTTATACTTTAACTACCTTTATCACTATGGGATTTGAATCGACAATTGTATCGCCGTGTTAATGTGATAGACATTATTAAAGAAAAATATTAGTTAAAGTAGATACAGGCGAAAGTAAGACCACCACCACATGGGCTAGTCCATTGCGTATGATTAACTGATAAGCGTTGGTTGTCTTTGACTTTGACACGGATCGACGAACTGTTCGATATTCAGTAACCCAACTGCCAGATGATTTGGCTAGAGCTCAGTGACATTTCATTGGCCCTACAGACTAATTGTTCTAAATTATCAAATGACCTTGAAAATCGATTATGGTTACCATGGTAACAACAAAATCTGTCTAGGTCAAAACAAACAATTAATTTTTTCATTTATTCATTCATTTCTTATTTTTACTCACATTGAAGAAGTTGAATAGTGGAAGATTTTCCTTTTTTTTTTCTTGGGACTTATTATTGAACTTCTTGAATAATTTCATAAAATAAAAATAGAATATATTTTCTTATGGCAAGTAAAAAGTCTCCAAGTAATCTATCTAATCGTAAAACAAAAGAGTAAGTTTCATTGAATGTTTTATATGAATGAATATTTAATTATTTCAATCGTTGAAATCATGAGTCAATAGAAACTAGACCACTATGGGAAACCTGGAAACACTGAACGGCCATTTCGTCCTAGTATGCGACTCCTCAGTAGTGCGTATCCACGATCCTGCCTCACGAAATTCGAACCTAGGACCTATCAGTCTGTTGTGAGATAGTTACTCACTGAAGACAATGGTGAATGTGTCACTCAATTTCATGAGTTAGCTGAAGTTAGCAATCGATACCATTGGATGCTGGCCGGCTCAGTGGTCTAGAAGTTAAGTGTTCGCGCGCGAGACCAATAGGTTCCGGGTTGGAATCTCGCGAGACGAGATTGTGGATGCACACTGCTGAGGAGTCCCACAAGTGGATGAAACGGCCGTCCAGTTCTTCCAGGTTTTCGATGATGGTTTAGCTCCAATTGACTCATGATTTCAACTATTGAAATTACTAAAATCTCCACAATACCCCTTCTGAGAACATTTAATTATTGATTATTGATTGGTAGGTAAACCATCTAATGAATTGGTTATCTTTAATTTATTAAATCAATAATCTATATTATTTACTATTGAAGCATTATATTGTAAATCACCAACATTGATGATCTATGTCGAATGACTGGAGGTGTACTAGAGTTAGATGAGAATGATGTGATGAACCAGCTAACATCGAAGTCACACCTCACGGTCAGCATCTCACGTTGATTACACCTTCGTCGTATCAAGGTACTATAGAAACTTTTAAGACTGTACAACACAAAGGACGTTACTACAGAAACATTTTAGTTAAAGTAGATAAAAGTGGAAGTAAGACCACCGTCGCATAGAACAGTCCATGGCGTACGATCAACTGATGAGCGTTGGTTGTCATTGATCAAGGAGAGGATCGATGATTTGTTTGATATTTAGTGACTTAGTTGCCTGATGATTTGACTAGGGTTCAGTGACATTTCACTGGTTCCACAATATAAAGTTAGAGATGATTATGTTATCCAGGAAGAGACAGAAGTAACTTAATTGTTAAATTCATGAGTTAATTGAAGCTAGACCATTATAGAAAACTTGGAGATACTGGATAACCGTTTTGTTCTAGAACAGGACTCATCATCAGTGCGCACCAACGATCCCACACATTGGACTCGAACCCAGGACCTATCAGTGTCACGCGCGATCGCTTAACCACTAGACCACTGAGCTGGCATCCAATAGTGATAATGTCTAACTCTAACCAATCGTACGTGCACACTTCTGGGAAGTTCTATGCTGTGACGAAACGGCGGTTCAGTGCTTCCAGGTTCCCTATGGTGGTGTAGCTTTAATTGAGCCATTAAATTACTATAATATCTACAAATGTTTGTTTACCTAATTATTTAAACTCATAAGCATTGGTGCAAGAAGGTATCAAACAGATATGCGCCACATAAATCGTTCGATTTCCTTGAGAGCCGGGATACTGTCCGGGTACCCAGACCGAAAAGGTGCTTTACTTATGGCGCTATACTCGGAGACTTCGACCTTAAAGTCTGATCAACAAGGCAGTGCAGAAACCTAAGGAGATACAGTTTCATGATAAACGATGACCAATAGTTGGTTCATACACCATTTGTTCATTCAGGATCCTGGAGCTCATGTACACCATTGATTTGGAATCAGGGTTTACCGATTCCTCAAGGTGTATCCTCCGTGTCCACCAACTCGGTTAAAGCAACGGATATTCTCTTTTTGTCCTCTCAATTTCATAAAGAAAGTTAATGCCACGAGAAGTCAATGAGTAGGACTTTCCTGACAGTGATTGTATACTCGCGGCCATTTGAGAGCATTTCGAGAGGAATAGTTGACTATCCCCACTCTCGACCGTATCATGGCATTTGGGAACTACATATTCTTCTACGAATATTGACTAATTACCAACTTTACATTTGACATAATTAAAATCCACTAATCATAAATGTTCATTAGAATTTCCTAAATATATTTCTATATTAGTTAACAATAAGAAATATGATTGTACAACAAAATGTAATACTTTTATTCATTTTTTTATCACTGACAAGTAGACTGAGCCATGTTGGTAGGTGTAGACTACCTGGTTAGGGACCGCGAGATGATAGCAATCGATGGTTAGAGACCTTGAATGACATGGCTCAAAATCATTTGCAATGGTGCAAGTGCATCCACCCTTTATGTCCTCCCGAATTTTAATCTCCTGAATCCTCCTTGTCTCTTTTTTTCTCTTCCCAAATTTATTTCACTGGATTATAGTCCTTGAGTAATATCTTCAAACCCTAATCTTTTCGATTACTGTCTATACTTTTACTACCTCTACCACTATGGGATTTGAATCAACACCTGCATCTCTGTGCTAATGTGGTATGGCATCTCAAACTGATGTATGTAAGTACGAATTTCTACGTTGTTACTGACTGACTGCCATGTGGCTCAGTGGTCTAGTGGTTAAGCACTCGCGTGCCAAACTCACAGGTCTTCAGTTCAAACCTCAGAAGGTGAGATTGTGGACATGCACTGTTGAGGAGTCTCATAATAGAACGAAACTTTCATCCATTACTTCTAAGTTTTCCATAATCTTAACCATTGAAATTCTTATTCTAACAATACATTTATTGTTTTCTTTCATTACTTTCATATTTAGAATTACTTTAACTAATCCATCATCATCTACACCAAGAGATACAACTATACCATTATGGCCTGAATGGAATGATCAAGATGTGAATAATGAAAAATGGGATTCATCACAGAAAACTAAAGAAAAGAGCAAATCATCAGCTGTATGTTATTAAAATTCCTTTTTTCTTCTTCTTGAAGTACTTTTAATTGATTTTATTTAGCAATCATCATCATCATCTACATATTTTATTGATCCAGAATCACAAATTTTATATCCATCATCCATGATACCATTTAGTATGAAAAGACCAAATGAATTTATTACAGAAAAGGTAAATCGAATTCATTGATTATTATCAGAAGGGGTTTTTGTGGATATTATAGTAATTTCAATGGTTAAGATCATGAGTTAGTTCAAGCTAGACCACTGGAAAATCTGGAAGCACTGGACGGCTGTTTCGTCCTATTGTGGGACTCTTCAGCAGTGTGCAGGTCACAGGGGGCGAGATCGTGGATGTGCATTGCTGAGAAGTCCCACAATAGGACGAACTGGCCGTCCAGGGCTTTCAGGTTTTCCATGGTGGTCTAGCTTCAACTAACTCATGATCTTAACCATTGAAATTGATTGATTATTAATAATCAATTTTATATGGAAAATAAATATATGCCATCCTTATGGGTACTAGTTAGGGAGGACAAAGCGACTGATGAAATGGTGAAACTTAATCAGTTGAGATGACTGGGACGGGTGTTACGTATGCTCGACTACCGATAGCTCCAACATGTGATGTTTTATAATGTAGGAGTAGGTTGGAAGAAAACAAGGGGTGACCAAATGAAAACATGACACAAATTCATCAAGTCACTGACAAGTGGACTGAAACATGTTGGTAGGTGTAGACTACCTGATTGGAATCCACGAGATGATAGAAACTGATGGTTAGAGACCTTGAATGAAATGGCTGAAAATCGTTTGTAATGGCTCAGGTGCATACACTACTTATGTTCTCCCAAATTTTAATCTTCTGAATTCTTCATATTCCCCTTTCTTTCTTTTTCTCTTTCGAAATTTATTTCACTCCATTATAATCCATGAATAACATTTTCAAACCCTAGTGCTTCTGATTACTGCTTATACTTTTACAAACTCTACCAGTATTGGATTTGAATGGACAATTATATCTGTATGCTAATGTGATATGGTAACTGGAATTGATGTACTTAGGTACGTACGAATTCCTACGTCGTTGCTGACTGACTGGTTGACAAAACTGTATATATTCCAAGTTCACTTCAGTATTGAATAATGTGGAATCATTCATGTATCTGGGAAGCATCACTGATCAACAAGGCAAGGATTGACAAACCAAGGACAGTATTCCCACAGCTGAACAATATATGGAACTCATAGCAACTGTCAACCGATGTCAAAGTCAGAATCTTCAATAAGAAAATCAAGACAGTTCTACTGTATGGAACTACTGTATGAGAACTACCATAACTATCATCCAAAACGTTCGTGCATTCATAAACAATTGTCTATGCAAGATACTAAATGTCTGTTGACGGGATACCATCATTAACAACATGCTCTATGAGAGGACAAATTAACTTCCATCTGAAGAGGAAATTAGGAAAAGATGTTGGAAGTTGATAGGAAACACATTGTAGAAATCACCGAACTGTATCACAAGGCAAGCGCTAGCAGATATAAAAGTGATGAATAGCAACTTTAAAGAATTGGAAAGGATTGCCCAGTACAGAGTTGAATGAAAAAGGCCGATGGGTGGCCTATGTTCCTTGACGAGTGGTAACCGGCGTAATTAAGTAATTAAGTAGTTAATTAATTAATTAATTAATTAATTAATTAAGTAATAATGTTCCTTCAATTTCAGTTATCGTTTGTGTTCTATGAATATAGTTTTTCACCATACTGTCAAGTAAAACCTGTTACTTTAAATTGTAATTATTTACTTACTTGTCTAAATCTGTTATTTCTTTTGAGACATAGGCTTCTGACCGGAGATGTTTAGTTAACTCTATTCTAGGCTTTTGTTTTACTTGTGGTCGGCTGATATTCATGCTTTCTAGATCTACTATCGATTCCCTGTATCAAGTTTTTTTGATCTACCTTTTTTCCCTTGAACTTGAGGATCATCGGTTAGGGCTTGTGTCGTGATGAAATTTAATGATTCTTTTAAAATGTTTCCTATCCACCTTTAGTGTCTTTTTCTAACCCCCCTGACTGGAAGCTCATTTGTTCTCTGCATAAAATGAGTTCACTTTGTACCTGGTTGTATTAAGTGTGAAGTTCAACTTAAATTGGGAATGTATCTATACAAGGGCTAGATGGTAAGAAAAAGAATTAACTCCAATGTCCATCTTTAACTCAACTAGAAACATAAATGCTGACAGAAACCTTGATTACAAGTTTGATAATAGGAAAGTCAATGTATAGAATGGAAACGAACAAATCACGTCATATCTGTACATGAATTCAATTTTAAATGTTAAGGATCTATGGTAACTCAGTGTTACAGACTATTTGACGCTGTTTCTGTCAACATGATCACTTCGGAAGTAACTAAATTTCACCTTTGATAATACAGCTTGCTATAAAGTTATATTTTCTCTCTTACTAGTTAGATTAGTCAAGAATCAGAAAACCTACTTTGTACTCGTAGTTGAATGAATTTCGCGCCAAAATTCAATATCTGTTATTTTACATTTTATTAGTTCGTCTATGAATTGTAGTCTCTCTGATTTTCATAGGTATAAGGCTGTAGAGATTGTAAAGTCTTCGTTTGAGATTATGAGTTGATTGATGTTAAACATGGAAACACTGAATGACCATTTCACCCTAGTACGGGACTCCTAGGCAGTGCTCATCTACTATCTCTGACGCAGTATTCGGAACCATAACCTTCGATCCCGTGCGCTACCCTTAACCTCTAGACCACTCAACCGATGTCCAACGGTGTTAATATCTAACTTCCGTCGATTCATCATGTGTTCACCAGTAAATGGCTCCCAGTTGATTTCCTGGAGTTCTAGTGAGAAGCCGTGACTAGTGGAGTCCAATCGTTGTCGAGTAGAGACAGTTATCCATCTCAGACAATGAATAAATGATTGTGCAACCATTCATGAATCCATTGAAGTTAGACATTAACATCGTCTGCTACCGGCTCAATGGTCTAGAAGTTGGGCGTTCATAAGCGAAATCGAAGGTCCTGGGTTCGAGTTCTTCTGGTGCAGGGTCGTAGATGCACTTTTTTTGAAGAATCTTTGATTTCCATCAACATTTTAATTTCAATTCAATTTATCCATTCTATTTATCATTTATTCTTTATTTCTTACTATAGGCACCTGTTGTATATGATCCAGAATTTATAAATCATGTTGATCTACTCTATTATAATGAACATTTATTTAAAAATGAAGTAAGCGCCAAAATTTGTATTCTTGTAAACAAACAAACAAATTGCTATTAATATTGTAGTTATTAAGATGGATTATATGTGACATACAAAACTTATGGTTATCATGTAGAACACCAATGCCTGAATCCATTCCTCCGACAGAGTTCAATGAATCAAATATGATGATGAATTTAACTCATTTAACCAATTATAACTATGAATGGAAACCATGGGAACATATTTATGCCATGACAAAAATTACTAAAGATAATAATAATACACCACAATATAATCCTTATGGAAAATATATTGTCAAGC